CCTTGTGGTTTTCAAGCGAGCGTTTGAGGCTATCGTCTTGATACTAGTATGATGTGTTGTCGGTGGTTATGCGAGTGGTGATGGAAGTGTAGGCATGATTGTAATTATCTACTGTTGAGGTTCGCCTCGTTATAGAGAGCTTCCTCGGTGATGGTGTTGATTATGCTCTTCTGCTCTTCAGCCAAGCTTCGATCGCCACTCGACCAGCGCTGGACATTGCCTACTCTCTGACTTCGAGGTGGACTTCATCTCTGGTTTGATCTGTGACACCGGCTACTCTCTCGTGGAGGACAGCATGACCACCACAGCTCCAGTTCGGAAGAAGACCCGTACCTCTTCGGCATCCAAGGTCGACCTCAACCTCATCATACCTTCCTGTCAGAGGCGTTCTTGCACTACAACTAGTAAGTCCGAGGCTACCCCAAGCAGCTCTTCAGGGTCTCGTAGTACTAGTACGCCTGAGAAGACGTCTAGACGAGGTAGAAAGAAGACTGCTGCTGCTGGTGGTGGTGCTCCTCATGCTTCGGGCATGCCCGAGTTCGAGCGTAACGAGTACCGGAGGTTGGTCCAGCACATGGTACGCATGAACAAGGAGTTGGCTGCGCCTTTCATGAAGCCTGTCCCCAAATGGGTTCCTGGTTACTACGAGGTGATCACTATTCCAGTCGATATATCGATGATACTCAATCGGCTCGACTCTTGGTTTTACGCATCCCGTGCTGATTTCGAAGCCGACATGAGGCAGATGTTCGTCAACGCCTACACCTTCAATCAGCCCGGGTCTCTTGAGTACGAGTACGCCCTCGAGCTCCACTCTATCTTCAACACAATGATGTCGACTGCTCTTGACAAGGTATTGCAGCACCTGGCGGAAGAGTACGAGAAGGAAGTGCGATCCACCACGAGTAGTGGTCGGAAACGTAAGCGACGATCGACGTGAGAGGCTTTGAGCCTCGGCCGATATGTTATATACTGCTTGTCGACTATTTTTCTGCTCAAATCGATTGATTATTACTGGCCGGGTACCGTTGTAGGGATGAAGTTCATCCTGACGATTATTGCATATTTGTTCAATTTCGTTGTAGTATTGCTGTGGTTTTTGCAAAGCATCGTCGGACTTTA